ACGTGACATATTCCGTCAACAGAATGTAGATATCCATTGTAATCTAAAACTGTGTCCATGTGGAATATATCAGCTGTAAAAATAAACCCTGAGATGTAGATCTGCCTTATGAGGAAACATGGCTGATCTCAAATTAAAACAGTGGAATGAAAAAATAAGGTAGTACATTCCGATACAAATCACAAGTGGGCTAACGCAAACAAATGGTTATCAAATTAGAAGATATTATTGGTCATATTTTTCCATACGAAATACATATAAAATGAGGCAAAATGATAACAACCTTTAAGGTATACAGGATTTAAAAGTGACAATAACATCTGGTGACGAACTGGCACCTATTATTCACAACACGCCATCTTACCTGCGCAACGTCGTACGCCTGGCAGGGGAGCGGGGCTTTTCCTGACCTTCTGGGAAGAGAGAGGAACCCGCACCTTTAGGTAGGCGGGGAGGGGGGGGGGTAATGGGAAGGGGGGCGGGCGAGGGATGGATAAGGAGAGGTGGAGGGAGGGAGGGAGGAAGGAGAGTGTGGTGGAGGAGGAGGGAGGGAGGAGGAGAGAGTGTGGAGAGAGGGAGGGAGGAGAGAGAGAGAGAGGAGGGAGGAGAGAGTGTGGAGAGAGAGGAGAGAGGTGGAGAGAGGGAGGGAGGAGAGTGTGGAGAGAGGAGGGAGGAGAGAGTGTGGAGAGAGGAGGGAGGAGAGAGTGTGGAGAGAGGAGGGGGAGAGAGTGTGGAGAGAGGGAGGGAGGAGAGAGTGTGAGAGAGAGGGAGGAGGAGAGAGTGTGGAGGAGAGAGTGTGGAGAGGGAGGGAGGAGAGAGAGAGAGGGAGGGAGGAGAGTGTGAGAGTGTGGAGAGAGGGAGGGAGGAGAGAGTGTGGAGAGAGGGAGGGAGGAGAGAGTGGAGAGAGAGAGGGAGGGAGGAGAGAGTGTGGAGAGAGGAGGGAGGAGAGTGTGGAGAGAGGGAGGAGGAGAGAGTGTGGAGAGAGGGAGGGAGGAGAGAGTGTGGAGAGAGGGAGGGAGGAGAGAGTGTGGAGAGAGGGAGGAGAGAGAGTGTGGAGAGAGGGAGGAGGAGAGTGTGGAGAGAGGAGGGAGGAGAGAGTGTGGAGAGAGGGAGGGAGGAGAGAGTGTGGAGAGAGGAGGGAGGAGAGAGTGTGGAGAGAGGGAGGAGGAGAGAGTGTGGAGAGAGGGAGGGAGGAGAGAGGTGGAGAGAGGGAGGGGGAGAGAGTGTGGAGAGAGGGAGGGAGGAGAGGAGAGAGTGTGGAGAGAGGGAGGGAGGAGAGAGTGTGGAGAGAGGGAGGGAGGAGAGAGTGGAGGAGGAGGGAGGAGAGTGTGGAGAGAGGGGAGGAGAGAGAGAGAGAGGGAGGAGGAGAGAGTGTGGAGGGAGGAGGGAGAGAGAGTGTGGAGAGGAGGGAGGGAGGAGAGAGTGTGGAGAGAGGGAGGAGGAGAGAGTGTGGAGAGAGGGAGGGAGGAGAGAGTGTGGAGAGAGGGAGGAGGAGAGAGAGTGTGGAGAGAGGGAGGGAGGAGAGAGTGTGGAGAGAGGGAGGGAAGGAGAGAGTGTGGAGAGAGGAGGGAGGAGAGAGTGTGGAGAGAGGGAGGGAGGAGAGAGTGTGGAGAGAGGGAGGGAGGAGAGAGAGAGAGGAGGGAGGAGAGAGAGAGAGGAGGGAGGAGAGAGTGTGGAGAGAGGGAGGGAGGAGAGAGTGTGGAGAGGGGAGGGAGGAGAGAGTGTGGAGAGAGGGAGGGAGGAGAAAGTGTGGAGAGAGGGAAGGAGGGAGGGAGGAGAGAAGGAAGACGGGAGGGAGGAGAGAGAGTGGAGAGAGGGAAGGAGGGAGGATAGACTGGTGGAGGGAGGGAGGGAGGAGAGAGTGTGGAGAGAGGGAGGGAGGGAGGAAAGAGAAGAAGGGAGGACAGGTAAGGAGTAAGGGAGGTGGAGGGTGATGTAAGGAAGAAGCAAGAGGGAAGAATTGTGGGAGAATACCCGGTAGGAGAGAGGAGAGGGAGACGAAGGAGGATGGAGAAAACAAGGGGGCGTATCAGAAAGAATTTCGTTCGAATCCCTGAACTGAGACTTTGATTTCGCTTAAAACCACAAATGTCGAGTATAAACCTATCGCATTGAACTACTCTCTTTGTATCTTAACATTCCCAAAGAAAATCACTGACAGATCTTCCCAGAATTATTTTTTCGCCCAATTATAGACAAACAACCGCAATCGGACACTGCAATATATCAGAATGGAAAGGCACGTTCAGCATAATGGAAAATTACACTGACTCCTGCTTATGCCTCATCACACTGGCATTATTTGCTGTGTGATGGTACACTGACATCATAACTTACGCTCTATACACAGCAGTACAGTTATGTGAATCTATATTCTGTGGAATTTGTTATCTGGATTAATTATTATCACTATCATCATAATGATTATTATTATCATTACCACAATTTTTATTATCATCACCATTACTGTTATTGTTGTTATTGTTATTATTATATTCAT